TGCTGACCTCAGGACCAGGATGGGGGTGGGACTGCAGTGTCCTGCTAGCCCTCCGTGCTGGGGAGTGGTCAGGCAGATTGCACAGCACACGGTCCAAACACAGGCAAGCTCCTACCCGGCTGCCTCCTGCTGCCCTGTGAGTGCACTGCAGGGCAGCCGCGGGAATGCCGAATGCCGGCTGAGAACGTAGCCCGCTGGGAAGCACTTCCCTTCGCAAAGGACCCGAGATGTGAGGCTGTGCGCTGATTTATTCCAGGAGGGCCAGCCAGGGTGGCAGTGGTGGGAGTGCAGTGGACGGGGTGGGTCAGAGTGAGTGCAGTTCAGAGGAAGAGGAGCGGGGGTGGGTCAGGAACTGGCGATTAGAGGAAGGACAGAGTGGGATCTGGAAGGTGAGTGGGCGAGGGGGAGAAGACCCCATCTAAAGGGGCAGACGCTGCGTTTCACGGAGGAGGGTGACAATGGAGCTGCTGGTAGCACATCCCGGCACGAAGGGAAGAGGGGGCGGCTTGGCCACACACACACTGGTCGGAGGGTCCCCAGCAAGGGGGCCACATTCAGAACTTGCAGATCTAATGAATCCTTGAAGTGGGCATTGCTAAAGGAGGCTGGGCACAGAATACAGGGACACCCACGGATACAAAGAACTGTGGCAGAGATGTGTCCTGGGACACAGAAGCCCCGGGAAGGGCCCCAGGACCAGGACGGGGACAGGGCCCCCCACAGCACTTCCCTAGAACTTCCCTTTCATCCTCACGACAGGACCTTAGGATTCCCCCATATGACAGATAAGGAAACAGGCTCAGATGGGGCGAGTCGCCTGCCCATGAGGGCAGCCAGAGAGGCAGGACCCAGGCAGTGGCTGCTGGGCTGCCTCTCCACCAGAAAAAGACCTAAAACACAATAGCAGGAGATGCAGGTGCAGGTTAAAAATCCCTGTGGCTGGAGGAAAGCCACTGCATCGGAGGACCCCTGAGGGCTGAGGATCTAGGAGGGCTTCATGAGGCTGGGGAGGAACCAGGGACCCAGGGCTGGGGCAGAGGGCTGGGAACATAGAGCAGCTTTGTCTCTGAACTTGATCTCCCTCCGATGTGTTGGGTTGCCAAGACTCCTGGGAGACCTGAAGGCAGAGGACAGGTAAACACAGACGAGAAATGACTAGGAAGGAGAAAGGACTTGAAGACTTTATCCTCGACGCCAAGCCTGGGATGGTGGCGCTAGGAGAGGGGGACGATCAGCACGGGGCACTGGGATTCTACAGAGAGACAGGAGCTCACCAAACAGCTGCTTTCCGCTTCGCTCTCTTGGTTTGTTGGAGAGGATACGGATCTTATTCTCTGCACGTCCTAGGTTCATGGC